GTCTGTAATCAGCCTGTTCTTTGTTCTTTGCTACTTTGTTACTCCGCTGCTTTTACTTTTGCTATCTGTTTGCACAGAATTGCACACAGCTCCCATTATTTATGTCCTCAGTCAACAGTTACTGATGAGATGTAGGTTTCAATAACTAACTTAAAGTCACACTGAATACAAAATAACATTTTTTTATTTTGTTAGTTATTGTATCATTAGTCACAAAGTCATTGGATCATAAATGATGACAAAGCAGGGGAGGGCTTTGTTGTGGACGATAAATCGCAGCGAGCTTGCACTATTACTAAGTTTCTCAGAGAGAGGAATTCCCTCTTCCGTGGTTTAAAACATAAATATGACAGTAAAAATGTTCAGCTCGAGGCACTATGGGCTGTAAGTAATAGTGGGTGATATCGTTGGATGGGTTGATCCATCTTTTATTTATAGTTTATGGTTAACAACCATGTGCACAATGAAAATTTAAGCTTAAATGTACCAAGAACATTAAATGTCTGAGGTCAGTCTTAGTTTTATAGAAAAGTACACCTGGATATGATGTAACACTAGCAGCCTATTAGAAGACTGTACTGTTTGACACCTGAGAAATAAGAAACACTGCGTCAAGAGTCTGACTCACACCCGATGTGTGGATTCAGCTAATATTTCTACATTTTCACTGATCACAGTTGACCTGTGACGATCTGCTCAAAGAGAATCATCTGAGTCCACCCAGGTATTCTTCATTTATTCTTAATTATCAGAAAATCCCACAGAGAGACAGCACAGATAGAGAGGTAAGGCTGAGATGTTTCAGAAGGAGGAATGGTGGAAATATTGGACCAAGGGAATTCAATGTGGGGCTGCCAGGAAGGAGGAAAACACAGACATCACGAAGGAAGTTCATGTAGGAGGATATGAAGAGGGTGGTGTGAGGAGTGGGCTGAGACTGAGGCAGATGATCTGTGACAGATAATTGAGATAACTGTTGTTGTGATTTGGTGCTATAAGCAGAAACGTGAGCAGCCAATAGAAGAAGAATAGAAAGCTGGTATACATCCCCACAGCGCCTATGTCAGTGCTCATGTCAGCCTAGGGCACGATGTGGTGCATCATTGTTTGATTAAAATATTGCTACAGCTGTGATTGTCATTGTTCACACAAACCTCTGACTATAGAAAAGTGACATAGCCAGTGATTTGTTGGTTTGGGAATCTGCATTTTGAATCCTCAGGATAATAAGATAAGATAATCCATCCATCCATCCATTCGCTTATCCTTTTCAGGGTCGCGGGGGGCGCTGGAGCCTATCCCAGCTGTCATAGGACGAGAGGCGGGGTACACCCTGGACAGGTCGCCAGTCTGTCGCAGGGCCAACACACAGGGACAGACAACCATTCACGCTCACATTCACTCGCACATTCACACCTAGTGGCAATTTGGATTTTCCAATTAACCTATCCCCACAAGCTGCACGTCTTTGGACGGTGGGAGGAAGCCGGAGTACCCGGAGGGAACCCACGCAAACACGGGGAGAACATGCAAACTCCACACAGAAAGACCCTGGCCTGATGGTGGAATTGAACTCAGGACCTTCTTGCTGTGCGGCAACAGTGCTAACCACTGTGCCACCGTGCTGCTGAATAAATACAGTACACAACTGTTCAGAATAGAATAAAATAAAATACTATATACAGTAGAATAAAATAGAATAAAATATACAATAAGATAAAAATAGAATACAAATGCTGTATACAACTGAGTAAAAATAATGAGGCTAAAATCAGTGTTAATTTATTAGATTTTAATGTGAGAGCCCTGCTAATAGTTTTCACCTGCTGATCAGTCCCCATCGTCCTCAGTGTATTTATAATCCAGTTTTTCTTTTGTCTTTTCTCCAGACATCTTTTGATATTAAGATGACATTATCTCTACTTTCAAACTTTCCGTTTTGCTAAAGCACATAGTTAGAGCTGCGAATCCTCCCTTAGTTATGCTGCAGTAGGTTTCAGCTGCTGGGGGATTCCCATGATGCACTGAGTCTTTCTTCTTTACTCACTATGTGTTAACAGACCTCTCTGTATTGAATCATATCTGTTATTAATCTCTGTCTCTCTTCCACAGCATGTCTTTATCCTGTCTTCCTTCTCTCACACCAACCAATGACAGCAGATGGCCCCGCCCCTCCCTGAGCCTGGTTCTGCCGGAGGTTTCTTCCTGTTAAAAGGGAGTTTTTCCTTCCCACTGTCGCCAAAGTACTGCTCATAGGGGGTCATATGATCGTGGTGGTCTACCTGACAATATAAAATGCCTTGAGGCAACTGTTGCTGTGATTTGATGCTGTACAAATAAAACTGAATTGAATATTCTTCCTGATTCTTATACTTTTCTGAACTACATTAATTTCTGGACTTCTCGTGCTCCAGACTTTGCGTTTAAACTTTGCATTTACCTCATAAAAGTCTTTGTTCATTTTTGGTTTTATCCTATTCAAACCCAAAATACCAGTTCTGCAATTATTCTCACCACGTTCTTCAAGTTGAAATTTTAATGGAACAGAAACAATATATCAACCAATCAACTGATGGAAAAATAATTTTTATGCTATTTTAAAAAGCATAATAATTATTATTTGCAGCATAAAACAAGTCTGTGTTTAGACTGTCTTGTTTAAAGTGCAGTTTTAGCATTGGTAGCTGTCTCCTGCAGACAGCGAGCAGGGAGTTCAGTGACCCGTTCAGTCTGATCCATGACTCCACTCCACGTTTTCCACTCTTCACTCTCTGCTGGGGTGATTACGCTCTGCTTACTCCAACTTCGACCCTGCGACACTCACACACAAACTCTCAAACACACACACGCACACACACACTTAGCGGTCCAGCATGGAGGCGCCTGCTCCGAGCAGCTAACTCTGGAGCAGCTGGGGCGCGTATCTTGCTGAATGGAGTACCTGTGGACTGACAGCATCGCACGAGACTGACATCAACAGCCTGCTCTACCATGGAGTTTGGAAAGGTTTGGTCCAGATATCAGAGGACGCTGCTTATCACCATGATGATGTTCAAACTGGGTGAGTTTTTGATTGTTTTCGTCTTGAATGTATAAAATCACAATAACCTCCACAGTTACATCAAAGCGAACCAAAGTGTAGCACGAAGAAGAAAATCTTATAAAGCTGCCTTTTTTCCGACAACGCAAATAGTTAATAAGGTATTTTACAACAGCACGATGGCTCTGTGCAGACATACACATGCACATATTCGTGTTAATGCATAAGTAAATAAACATGCAGACCACTGCTGACCTAACAGGACATAAAGATGGATTTAATTTATCACCAGACCGGAAAATAGTGCTATCATCAACAAAAAAATATATATTTAAAGTCTGATGAATCACAAATATGATTTACATTTAGGGTGTAGTATTGAATCCTGTTCTATCCACATGTTGTGATCTATAATTGTGGAGCTCTACATATTGTTTCCTGTTATTAAAATAACTTTGCACTCTTTAACAAGTGTATCATACACATGTCCGAGTAAGAACCTTTAGACATATAAAGTTCATCCACGGTGTGTTTGTTTTTGTGCTCACATACATCACCCAAACTCTACCCCAACCCCCCCAAGATTAGGGTTTGGGGCCATTTTATTTAAAACTTCTGAACATTTACAACATTTAAATGGAAAGTCCTTTTAACAGCAACCATTGCTGTGCAAAGATTGGTGTATGAGACTTAATTTAAAAGGTAATATCTCACATTTAATATGTGGACAGAACAGAACAATAACACTAGACTTATGCTGCAGTGTTTATGTATAAAAACTGAAACTAACAGGACACACTGTGAGAGTAGTTTGGTAAGTTTGTCATTTAAAGGTAAAGGATATTACAGATATACTACATATTGCATAACAAGGGGATGTGACATATTTTGCTATTATGATTTGAATCCACTTTTTTATTAGAGGGAAGTGTTGCTATGAAAAAGATCAAATGAACTTAATGAACATGGAAATGGCACCAAGTTACAAAGTGTCTTTTTTCTTTTGTGTTTTTTTGTGTGCTAAAAACTACAAGTGAGAAATATATCTTTGAACTGGAGGTTTAGCACAATCATTTCTTTACTTATATCATACTTTGTTCATGAGATCACAAGATTAACTCGAATGAGCATATGCTTCAACCTCCTGAATCCATACTCTATCAGAGAACCAAGAGATATAACAGGGTTTTAGTATGTGTGCTCCTTATGGCTCCAAAATGTGTGCAGGGTGTGTCTGGGTGTGTACTGGGGGTGGGGTGGGGGTTCAAAACCTTATGAAACCCTATTGACCTATTTTTCCCGCAACCTTTATTTGTGTGAAATGTCTGAAGCTCATTTAAACGGTGGTAGAACGGCGGCTTGGATTGGCTGTGGGTGGCATTGTTAAAGATCACCATGGTAACGAGCTGAGCGTCCGGCTGCACTGCTGCACAGCTTTTTTGTCTCGGCTTTGAATGGAGGGGGTGATGGGTATTAAGGAGCATGGCAAGAGGTCTGGCACGCAGCAAGTTTTAAAGAAGAAGGCAACAGACAGAGGAGACAGGGCGACGGCGAAGAGACGAACACGAGGACAGAGACTGTAACACTGGAAGAGTTCACATGAAAAGTATTTAGAAAAAGTTTTTAAAAACGAGCACATTTGAAAACCTCTCAAAAAGAGTTTGTTCACAAATATATTTACTGTTACCTTTAAAACAAATTTGGTATTTTTAGGAAATGGGAAAAATACAAAAGCAACATGTCCTGAAACTCATCCGTTGGTCTCGTGAGTGCTGTCTTCTGCAGATGATGAACACAATGGAGACAAGTGCATTGGTCAGAGCCTTTCCCGTCTATAGGACACGAGCTGTGTCTAATTCCAAAAGAATTTGTGAAATGCGGATAGAAAACTGGTGACTAACAATATGAAAAACATGGGGGCTAAGATGTTTATAGAAGCCTTGTGTTATACTTTTTAAACATCTGTGAGCAGCTAGCTGACAAATTGACTCCACAGAAAATAATTGGAGTTGTTGTAGCTTTTACGAAGAAACAAATTTCCCTCCAGACGAGACACAAATAGTGAGTTTAAAGCGACATGGCCTCTACAGTAACTCACGGAGGAGACAAAAGAATGTATGTCTGTGACTAGAGTCAGAGAAGATTTGTGCTTTTTCTGTATAAAGCAAAGCAGCCACCTGCTGTGGGGCATTAGGAGCCCAAAGCGGAGCCCGGTCTCTTGTGGTGATTCAATAAAATTCCTCTGAGCTCAACTCGTGCGTTAGCCAGAGGCTTCCCTTTATCTATGATTCACAGCGCTGCTGTTTCCTCCGCCCTGCAGCAGTACTCTCTGTTGACTCTGTGGTGCTGTTGCCGTGACTCGGGGTAAACACTTGTCGACTGCCTTTTACATCTGAAAGAGTGAATTTGATTTTCTAGCAACACACCTCTATCTACTTCCTTTGTAATCTGTGCACAAATGTGTAGTCACCTATTTGTGAGACATATTTGATTCACTTAGTTTTGCTGTTTTTAGTAAGTTAGTGAAATAACTCCAGAAATCTATTTTTAATGCCAACATTTCATTCGGTTAGAACTGGCAAATTTCTAACATTACCAACTCTCTCCTTGATTACTGGTTGACCATCATCACTCCTGAGGAGCAGGTGTTGTGAGGAGGAAAGCCAAGTCACTAATATTTATTCTCCAGCTACCCACTAGACCATTATGTCCACTCCTCCAATAAACGTCCTCGTTAGGGTGTGGGGGTTGTTTCCACCTGGGAAGTATCCACTGTGTTAGCCAGCTGCTCTTGTTAAGTGGGAAGATATGTATGTGAGTCATATACAGTAACACTAAAAATTGTTCTAATGAACAGAAAACAATAATAACATTTATTTGGGTGATGCTGACCCACTCAAAATCACCATGGCTACTCTTAATGAGGATCATCCGGAACCAACCCTCGTGTCCAAGGTTGTTACGGATACAGTTTCTTAGCTCCAGGATTTCCCAATTTCCCCTTATTATTCTCTCTGTTTTATAATAATGCATAACTTTATTTATCTGTTCCCTTTTTTATATATTTGTACTAGTACTGTTCTTGGTATTATTATTTTTTTCTCCCCCTCTTCATCTTTTTCTTCATCTTATCATTAATAGTGGTGGATTATATCATTATTATTATCATTTATTTATTTAATGTAATTTTTATATTAAATTATTTTATATTATTATATTAAATTGTAAAATGTATTTAATTATTATCATTATTATTACTAATAATATCATTATTAGTTATATTCATCCAACTTTGGGTGAAAAAAGTTGATTTTTGAAGCTGGATTTCTATTCGATTCAATGTAATTAAACTGAATTTTATTCATTTATCACCAAATTGCAGCAGTCACCTCAAGACCAATAATGCAGTAATACAGAGAAATCCCCAACAATCACACAAAGCGCTCGGAGCAGGCACTTGGTGACAATGGGAAGGAAAAATGCCTTTTTGAGGGGAAGAAACGTCCGGCAGTTTATTTTAAATAAACCGTTCCTTTGCAGATGGTTCAAGCTAATTGAAACAATTCACCAGTTCCTGTTGACAAATTGAGCATTTGTCTAAATGACATCCAAAAAGTAGATAAAACGATAAAATAAAAAACACCTACCTTTGTTTTTGTTTTAAACTAAATGTATTGGTATCTCTTTGGCTGTGAATCGGTTGTGGTCAAACGTCTTGACTGTTACATTTTTTCCCCACTGTGATAGTGGGCATGTTGGTGCACTGGATGGCACTAGTGCCTCATAGAAATAAGGTTCTTAAATCAGATCCTCTTTCCAGGACTGTTGCAGAAAAAAA